CGACATAGATAAAAATTATGAACAGATAGATAGATAGATAGATAGATAGATAGATAGATAGATTTTTTTTTTATATACAGGAGATTACAACGACCGGATCAACAACAAAAAAATGCGTCATTTCATGTGTGACAAACTAATAGATAGATAGATAGATAGATAGATAGATAGATATGAACATCGACATAGATATAAATTATGAACATAGATAGATAGATAGATAGATAGATAGATGAACATCGACATAGATATAAATTATGAACAGATAACATGATAGATAGATAGATAGATAGATAGATACATAGATTTTTTTTTATATACTAGGAGATTACTTCGTTAGACGACCGGATCAACAACCAACCAAAAAATGCGTCATTTCATGTGTGACAAACTAATAGATAGATAGATAGATAGATAGATAGATAGATAGATAGATAGATATGAACATCGACATAGATATAAATTATGAACATAGATAGATAGATAGATAGATAGATATGAACATCGACATAGATATAAATTATGAACAGATAGATAGATAGATAGATAGATAGATAGATAGATAGATAGATAGATTTTTTTTTTATATACTAGGGAGATTACTTCGTTAGACGACCGGAACAACAACCAACCAAAAAATGCGTCATTTCATGTGTGACAAACTAATAGATAGATAGATAGATAGATAGATAGATAGATAGATAGATAGATGAGGATCATAAGGGACACGCTCAGATACTCAGTACGTAGAGGTAACATGCAGGGGAAGGAATCCAGCCTCATCAAATCACACTCTCTCAACATCGTGCTCCAATAAAATGAACTCGCCATCTAGTAATCATTACAGCCATCCTGATCACTGCATGTTTTTTTTTTTTTTGCTTGAACTTTGCCATAATGACTAGAAATGACTTCTCAAGGCATTGGCTATACACAAAATCCCTATGAGGTTGCCTATCACGTAGATGTCATATAGGGCATTCATTTACATCTATTGTCTTGCAAAAACTTAGTTAAGTTTTGGGAGTTTAACGCGCCAAGCTCTCAGCAGAGCTGAAGCTTCGCTGGGTGACGTTGGCGTCCGTCCGTTACTGCAGGAGTTAAATTGAGTACAAAATTGATAAATACGGGATAAAAAAAATGAAAGTAAAAACTTAAAATCGAGTAATAAGTGCACATAAATCATATTCTATCCTCGATTGGCTTGTGTCTGAGATCGTTGTGTATTTCTCAACAGCATCAAGGGTCGTGTATATAAGCTAAAAAATAAAGACCAGTGTTTCGTTTACTTATCATCTTGTTTTCTTTTCTTCTTTTTTTTTTTTTAAATAAATAGCATAGGACTCCAAGAAAGAACTGAGAAGCACAGTCTTCTATTTACCATTATGCCAGATGGCATTAAGCATTGTAAATACCTATTAACTGATGTGCTTCCATAGACGGTTATCAACTAATAATACCAGCAGTCGATGTTCGAATTCATGTTAAAAACTACACTAGGATGTTGTATATTAATGATCTGTCTATATTTCTGGGATGAGTTATTGTAACTATTTACACTATTTACATTGTTCGCATTGTTATCCTCATCTTTATTGTCATAATTTCGACGTTTCATCTTCCGGCCTTCTTCATGATCTGTCTATATTTCAGGGACGAGTTATTGTAACTATTTACACTATTTACATTGTTCGCATTGTTATCCTCATCTTTATTGTCATAATTTCGACGTTTCGGCCGCTGTACGTTCCGGCCTTCTTCATGATCTGTCTATATTTCTGGGACGAGTTATTGTAACTATTTACATTGTTCGCATTGTTATCCTCATCTTTATTGTCATAATTTTGACGTTTCGGCCGCTGTACGTTCCGGCCTTCTTCATGATCTGTCTATATTCCTGGGACGAGTTATTGTAACTATTTACACTATTTACATTGTTTTGGCTGTTGTCCTCATCTTTTTTTTCTTTTCTTTTTCATATTTATAACGTTTCGGTCGTTGTATGTCCTGGCCTTCTTAAGGTGATTGGAATTTTGAATCGGATCGTTTATTTCGTCTGCCAGAGTAGATTGTTCTAGTTCCACGTGTCATGCCTCATCCGGATGTCTCAGTTTCAGATATTTCCCTTAAACTCAACTCTCCAAGTTTTTGTTCACCTCTGCTGAGGCCAGGTATTGAACTCACAACCCTTTGAATTAAGTAACTGGATTACATCAACTGGGCTATGTGTCCTTGAGTGGATAAAAGTGTTGAAATAATACTGGTCACAACAGAGGTGGACAATAACTTGGAGAACTGAGGTAATGGGAAATAACTGAAGGTTTTTTTTTTCTCTTGCATAGACTGCCATCCAACTTTAATCTTCCATTTACTAAATCCGAGTATTACTTTTTCCAATGCTTATCAATATCATATCCATTTTGATTATATCCATTAAAACCGGTTTTCTTTGTTTAAAGAAAACGCTCATAGACTTGATAGCTTAACCTCCGAACCAAATTCTGAATAAATATGTATTTTGAATATAGTAAAATGTGATCAATCCTTATTCCTTAAAAGAATACATATAAATACATCTTGATTTCGACTCTGCATCGTATATTGAGTTAATCAATTTAAAAGTGACGTTCAGAAGCATCTGAATATCTTGTGTCTTAGCTTCTGAAACTCATCATTATCTATCTATCTATCTATCTATCTATCTATCTATCTGTGGGTGTATATGTATTTCTACCGAAATAATAATAATGTTAATACAAATCTATTTCGCTGAACAAAACCGAGTAAATTAGTAAAATTTAATGAGTTTAAAGATGAGCGTGTTTGTGCAAAGGAAGTGTTCAATATGAAAAAAGGGCAAACAATCTTCATGATAAGGAAAATTTCAAAAGTCTTTAAAAATTTTAATTATCTTACCCTAATCTAAGTTTTACATCCACTCGTCAAAAGGATGTTACATAGTAAAGTATATTAATGCATATATCTATATCTAAGTATATAAATATATATTTCTAAAAATTAATGGATTTACTTTTAATCCAACATTTCTATTACTTCAAATGTTATTATAGTGGACACTTTCTATCAGATTTCTGTCCATATAAGGGAAAATGGAACCTTATTTGTAGTTTTGTTTTTCGTAGCCGAGCTGTAAAATACGCAGAATCAGACGATGATTTTTCCTCCAAAATGGATGATGGTTCGAGTCTGCCGGTGAACGTCTTTCCTTTACTAAAATTTCTTGAATGCGCAATCTGATAGACGTAATACACACTGTTTAATTAATAAAATGGGGCGTCTATTTCAGATACGAAGTATACACTATAATAACGTTTGAACTTATGTTTGCATATATCATCCATTGTATTCTTTAAAATTCAACCTCTCCCTTATATAATAAAGATTATAGCTTGGTTTTATTGTACCTTATTTGATTCGACTAGCACATTATGCAATTGCGTTGGATAAAGTACATCACAAAGAACTGCTGTAACTGCTAGGTAAGCCTGATTTATTTGGAAGGACATTAGAATAATCCAGAACCTATACTTGCAGCAAACCGCCTGCATTCGGACAGAAAATGAATTCAGTAAAAAAAATAGAACGGGTTGTAAGATAAGGATGTGCCTTGTCATCGGATATATTCAACTTATAGAGTAATGGGATTCTGCTAGGAATAGATATCCTCCCAGGATTCATTATTGGTGTCTACAATCTTAAAATATGACACAGTGTCAATAGCAGACACAGAGAGGAAACTACACAGTTTGATGGCTTCGACTAAATCTAGTTTGAACACAAATGTATGCCTTGAATTACAGATAAAATATATTGTGGGTCATTTTGCTATAAAATGTATTGTTGGTCATTTTGCTATAAAAGTATATTGTTGGTTATTTTGCTATAAAAATATATTGTTGGTCATTTTGCTATAAAATGTTTTGCTGGTAATTGTACAATAAAAATGTATTACAGTACATTTTACTTTAAAATTGTATTTTTGTTAATTTTACTATAAATATGTATTATTGAAACTTTGACTATTAATATGTATTTTTATACTTTCATAGTGTTTTGTTTTGTTTGGGGCTTCCTACAGAAGGCAGTTAAGGAAAGCAAGAAAAAAGGACTAAACATCAATTGCTGGATGACGGAAAGCCTCGTTGTTAAGAAGAGGATCAGTCAAACATGCAAATTAAACAAGTACAAAAATTTAATAATCTGGGAAGTGTTTTAACAGAGAACGCAGAGTGAAACACTGAAATCCGAAGGTGCATCTGCATAGCGAAAGTTGCCTGCCAAAAACTAAGCAAAGTATTAAGAAACAGAAAAAATTCCTTAGAAACACCGAAGTACTAAACGTAATATCAGTTCTCCTATATGGTAGTTAATGCTGGGATATTTCCTCGCAGATAATGAAGAAACTTGAAGCAACAGAAATGTGCTTCTACGGAAGGATGTTGAGAATACCATGAACCGAACATGTGAGCAACGATGAAGTTTTAGAGAAAATGGAAACGAAAAAGGACACTTATACTTAACATCGGAAGAAGACTGTTGAAATTTCTAGGGATCATAATGAGGAAATAGGGCTTGGAAAATGTTATACTCACAGGTCAAACTGAAGGTAAAAGATATAACGCATAACCGACCTGAATGGAGACGTCAGAATAAAAGGGAAAGAAGCCTGTATGTATCTCCAGAAGACCTATGATATTTAACGTTATTATGCACTTTAATGTCAAAAAACGCGATAAACATAGTAATGTTTATTTTGATACACCTGACGAAAGAATCTGTGCACACAAAGATGCATCATTTCTACGCTTATTCATTATTGAACGGATACCAGGACAAATGCATAATACAATAATTTTGGGATATTTTTTTTCTTTTTGTTATGTTTCAACCCCTACGTACCCCCTCTCTCTCTCTCTCTCTCTCTCTCTCTCTCTCTCTCTCTCTCTCTCTTTTTTCTTTTCTTTTGTGCGTGTGCATTT